CAGACGGAGGAGCTCAGAGGACAGAGGAGGTTTCTGTGGGAACAACCGGGACCGAGCAGATGTCTGGAGGTGGATAACGAGGAGGGGAGGTGTTGGACCTACCTTTATCGGTGTGTGTTGGCGGGGGTCCGGCCATGGTGGTGCGGGGACGGGGTTCTGCTCCCGCTGTGGGCCGTAGAGCCGGTGGACGCTCTGGGGAGGATCCTGTCGAAGTTCTGGTCCCACTGCTGCTGCAGCGAGGCCCAACATGGAGCAGAACAGAGAGAAGTGTGACCAGTTTACCTTCCAGCTCCTCTTTAGCTCATTTCACAACCTCAAATCCAGTGAAGTTCAGACATTATGTAAAATATAAATAAAAACAGAATATGATGATTTACAAATCCCTTTCAACCTATAATCAACTGAATTCTSTACAAAGTCAAGATATAAACTATTGTTTTCTTGCAAATATTCACTCATTGTGAATTTGATGCCTGCAACACACTCTAAAAAATCTGGGTTGGCTGTTTGGAGCAGGGAGCATCCCCGAAAGGCTCAGTCGTTCACAAGCACTTTCTGAACAACTGTGTGAGCCTCTCTGATGGTATGGGGGTGTATTAGTGCCCATTAATGCTGAAAAGCTACAAACAGGTTTCGGAGCAACATATGCTGCCATCCATGCCGCGTCATTTTCATGGACATTCCTGCTGTTCGGCTAATTTCAGCTTCTCTTCTGTTTGTTGTAAATATAAAAATCTATTTCAGCCATTACTCAGTCTTCAGTGCAGTTTATTAGAAAATGTAATTTGTGAATCATAAGATCGGCTCCAGGACACTTTCAGCATGAATGGCAGCTCCTCTCTGGTGTTAGTGTTTAGTATTAAACATCGGCCACATTTTAACCCCTTCTTATCTGTTGGAAACTAATTGTCGTGTTTAAAATGTTGTTTTGATGAATGAATGTGACGACAGGATCATTACAGGTTCTGATAAAACTGACACTCTCTGTCACTGTTTGCTTTTTCCTTGGACTTTATCCCTCCTGGACGAAAAACTTTTAAAAGGTTCCTGATTTCCATAACAATTTGCCTGCAGCGGGACAAACGTGTGTGTGTGTGTGTGTGTGTGTGTGTGTGTGTGTGTGTGTGTGTGTGTGTGTGTG